AACAACACAGAATTAGAACCACGATCGAAACTTGACTTTGCCGAGCTTCTGCTTTGCTGCGGTGCCCAGGGCCCTATACTGGAAAGATCACTTGAGGTGGCCTGCGAGACGCAGTTCTTTGAAATGGCTGACCTCTTGGCGCGTTATGGAGCTTCAATCGAGCACAACGACGCTTCTGCTTTGAAAACCACCATTTCAAAGGGCCAAACCAGTCTTGTAGGCTCTCTTCTCAACGGATCGTCCAAGATTGATCCTGCATTGGTATCAAGTTGTGTCCCTCTGATTCCCGAGCATGCAGATTCTGGAACCCGACAAAGTTTGCTATACTCGCTCCTTAGGCGAGGAGCAAATGGTGATGTTCTGAATGATTGTCTCATTCGAGCTGCTAAGGCTGGGGACGTTCATTCTGTAGAACTTCTACTCAACCCTCACTTTCGCGAGCCACCAAGTGGAAAGCAAAATGGGCAGGTGAAACCACGCATCACTAACCGTCACGCTGTCGCATCGCCTGATTATCAGAATGGAGAGGCCCTACGTATAGCGATTTTGGCCGGAAATGCAGACATGGCAGCCAAGATCCTCTTCGCGAGGCCCTCGAACGAAACACTTACCGCAATATTTCCTCTAGTTAAGAGCCTTCCCCCGACAGATCGATATCGTATGGTTGAGATGTTCTTAAGGGGAGCTTTAACCGGCCCAGCTTTGCACAAGGCTCTTCAAGATGCAATCAGTGAAGACCCCTCCCAGAGAGACGACGCTCTGATCAATCTTTTACTCAAGTATAATGCGGACATCAACTATGACGATGGTGCTGGACTCACCCAGATCATAAATCAGATGGACCTGGGGTTATTCACCATGTTGATGCAAAACGCTTCTCCCCAGACAGCAGCCGCGCATGTCAACAACGTGATGAGTATCGATAACCACCAAATCAGGTACGAGATGATGTCAATGCTGTTTAATGCAAGGGCGAGTGTGGCTGGACAACAGGTTGCAGAAGCTCTCCTTGCGAATATATCGGAAACACCTGTTGACATGTCTCTTCTTCGACTTATCCTTGAACAAGGAAGGCCAGACATCAACGGCCTCAATGGCCATATTCTGCAAAAGGCCGCCCAAACCCCTGACCCCAAGGTTATTGATCTGATCCTGACCTTGGGCAAACATAACCAGGACACCATCTCTGTTTGTCTCGAAGGATTGGCGAAAATTCCCTCGAGCGAGAACAAGGCGTGGAAGCTTGATGTTATCTTGACTAGATCTCCCAAGAAGATCAACCTGGATGCAATGCTTGTGCATGAAGTCCAGACTCTTATCGAGGACACATCTGGCAATGCCTCTTTCAAAACACTGCAGAAACTTTTGGACCGTGGCGCCGATGTGAACGCCTTCCAGGCAAGGGCACTATGCAGCGCGGTCAAAGAAGCGAAGGACACGATAGTCGATACCCTGTTCGCTAGTGAGAAACCACCGACAGCAGCATCACTAGCATTCGCTCTTCCGCAGGCCCTAAAGATCTCGGATCCTATGACCCGCTTGACTTTCACTAAGAGTCTAGTAGAATCTGGAGCCTCCCCTCGTGAAGTCAACAGAGCATTGATCCATGCCATTAGCCATTTCACCACAGACGTCGCTTTGATTTGTGTTCTAGCCACTTATGCTGATGCGTCTGATGGAGAGGCCCTTTCACTTGCTGTTGCCAAAGAGTCAGTCGAAGTTTTGGATCTCCTTCTTTCACAGCTCAAGCATACGGACGAGACCAGAGATTCTTGCTTGGATCAAGCGATGAAGGTCGCCGACTGGACGGTTCGTCTTAATATTTGCAACCGTCTGGCAAAATCCGGCATTTCATCTCAAGCAGCCTCTGACGCTCTGCTTGTTGCGGCGAGAGATGGTGATCTGGAACTTGGAGATGTTCTTATTGCTCACGGTGCCAGTATATCCACCAACGGAGGTCAAGCTATCATTGAAGCATGCCGCGGCGGTTCTGTTGAAGTCCTTGATGTGCTTCTCAAGTCCAATGCCGATACACAAAAGTTGACATTGGAGCGTGGATTCCAAGCTGCGACCGAGGTTAGAGATTTAAACAAAAGGGCGATGGTCTTCCAGCGCCTTCTCAAGAGGGGTGTTTCTGGAGAGGTTGTTGATATTCAGCTCGTCTCAGCCGCAAAGTATGGCGAAGAGGGTCATGAAGTGTTGCGCGTTTTGCTAGCAGCGGGTGCAGACCCCAACTATAGTAACGGCGAGGCAGTTGTGGCGGCAACCCGAAGTGCCTTTGTCGGTAGTCTTGAGTTGCTGCTGGGCTTGTGGCACGAGGGTGGTAATCAGGTAAGTTTGACAAGCCGTTTGGAGACGCTGTCGCTAACGTGTTTGTAGAAAAAGGCATCGCCTCCTACTTTGGTTAGGGCCATGAAGGCAAGCTGGAAGCTTAATCAAGATACCAGGCTGCACATTGTCCAAGATCTGATGAAAGCAGGTATGCCAGCTGTGGATGAAGTCCACATCGCCTTGAGTAAGGCAGTTGGGGAAGACGAACCAGATGAACGGCTTATCCAGGTCTTGCTTGACTCTGGAGCATCACCGTTCACAAACGGCTGCTTTGCCGTTACACAAGCTGTCCAAGGTGTCAAGGTTTCGGCACTAGATCTTCTCCTGGGTAGTAAGATCGGCGAGGACGAGATACTCAAGATTTTCGAAAACGGATTCTCAGAGACACAGTTCAGCACGTGGTTCTCCCCGAACGGTCTAGAGGTTGCAAAAATGCTTCTAGCTAAAGGGGCTAAGGGAGTGGCTGTCAGCAGTGCTCTGTTGCAGGTGATGAAGAACAGCACAGACGAGACTGAGTCATTGGCTGATGAGTTTGTTGACTTGTTTGTCGCTCATGGAGTCGATATTGACTTTGAGAATGGAGAACCGCTGATTTGTGCAGCATCAAAGGGTAATGCCCATTGGACAGAACGGCTGCTTGCTTGCAAGCCATCACCACAAACTCTCACGCTTGCTTTTGAGCGTGTGTTTGATACGGCAAGGTCACCTGATGAGGTACTGAAGCTGTTTGAACTCTTTTCGGGATATCGCGATGGGGAGGTTGGGCTAGATGTCATGACGCGGAGTGCTGGGTCGGATCCGATCCTCATCAGGGCGATTTCGCAGTATCCTAGATCGACAGAGCTGTTGCAGACGTTGTTGGATGCTGGTTTCTATCACGATCAGACAACAACATATCGTATCCACGACAGCGTGGAGGAGCCTGAAGAGGTGACGGTGCTTGCCTGGGCAATTGCTCAGCCACAGAAGAAGATCAGCTCAGCACTGATTGAGATGCTGATCCAGCGTGGTGGTAAGTCTTTAATCGTCTTCTCGTTGCAGACTCATATCTAACATTTATAGCGAACGTCAACTTCGAGACAACTATCAGCCGAACCACCCCCCTTATGATCGCTATCCAAGCACGCCGACCAGATATAGTCAAAGAACTACTTATCGAAGGAGCGAGCGTCGATATTACCGATGCCATGGGCAGAACGCCTCTTGCGATGGCCACCGATATTGGCGGTGAGCTGTCGACTCGCATGATGGGCAACTTACTAGCATTTGATCAATCGAAGGATGATGGATCACTACACAACTCCGCCAGGGAACTCAACTTTGCAGCAGTATCAGTTCTAGTGGAACATGGCCATCATCCTGACTTCCCTAGTCCACTACACGATGGAAGATCTGCTCTGGGTGAAGTCTGTCGCCATGGAGCAGGATCTGGTAAAATGACTGCAGATGCAGAAAAGCTCATGCAGAAGGTGATGACTTTCTTGATTGACGCTGGCTCAGACCTGACCTTGCAGTCGCATGGGAAGTCTCTGCTTCTTCTCTGCTTCGACTCTGCAGATCCCATTGCCACTACTCGCAGTTTCTTGAAAGTGGCGATGTGGAAAGAGATCAACAAACCGTTCAACCATTACACTGATGGCGAGTTTACGTATTCTCCGACAATGTACGTCAGCAAAGTGATGCCCGAATCGGATACTCGAGACCAGCTTCTCAGCCTTCTTCGAGCGAATCGAGCAGTGGATGTATACTACGCAAACTCTGGAGACCAGCCGGATGATGCAGTCGGTCTCCCCAATGATATGGTAGTCCAAGAACGCGAAAGAAAAGCCAGATTACGACGACTGGCACTTGAAACTGAAGACCATGCTATTGCGCTCGCACGAGCAAAGGAAGTGGCTAGCGTGGAGAGAGAGATCTGGAATCACAAAGCGGAAATTGAAGATGCCCGCCGTCGCAGACTCCACAATGAAGATATTAATGCAACACGACAAAAGGCTGATCTTGAAGAATCGCTCTTCCTAGCAGCTGTCAAGAGACGACAGTTAGAGCAGAGCAAGGTTACGCAGTCCAGCCTCGAGCGTATCCAACAAGTCGCCGCAGCTGAACTCCTAGCCGAAGAGACGAGGCAACAGAAGATGATAGAGTGGGAATCTAAATTGAACTCTGAACGAGCCGGTAATGCGCAAGCACTTAGTAGTCTACGCATCAGTGAGCGTGAAGAGTTGGAACGAATCGAACGGGGCGCAGACGAAAGAGTCAAGAGGAGACTCGAGGCACAGAAAAAATTGGTTGAGACACAGGAGAGACTGGCAAAGAGACTTGCTTCTGGACCTGGAGGGGGAGCAGATGCCAGGAGGCAGATTGGATTCGTGGAAGAGATTAACTAACCCTTCCGGATTCAACATTAGCATCACTGGCAGGCTTGGGGGATAGGCGTTGGGTGTTTTTGTTATCAGATACCTCTTTTAGCTTATGATGAGATGATCTTTCTTTTCTTCAAGACTAAAACTTCTCAATTGACCCCGAGATAAGATCTCAGAAGGCGATCTCTGATGTATCTGCGGGCGAGTCTTGGTTTGTATGACTGTCAGATGTGACGGTTCGTTTCGGCGAGACTTTTCCTCAGTTGCATCACCGTTCTCTTTTGCCTCTTCTCTATCTTCTCACCCTCATCGATCTCCTGCACCCTTTTCCTGACAAGTTCTGCATCTTCTTGTCCCTGCGTCTTGTCCCTGCGTCTTGTTCTGCATCTTGTTATGCATATCGTCTTCTATACGGCGCAGTCTCGAATCGATTCTGTTGATGCTGCGCTCTAGTCTACTGAGCGAGTCGTGTATCAAGGTGTTGGTGGACTCCATGTTCCTGGTCGTGCGTTTTAGCACGTGGATAGGATCTCTTAGTGTGACAACGGTGTCATTAGTGTATTTGGTGTTAGCATCGATCTTATCGAGGGTGACAATGGGCTTGGCGAGCAAAGTGTAGTTGAAGTTTCGGGAAGACATCTTGTGGCGATGAACAATATAGCTAATAAGCGTTATGGAATCCGAGATATAAGAGAAGTGTAGGTAAGAAGAGAGAAGGATCAAGAGTCGAAGCATACGTCTCCTTTATATACTTACTTGCCTGTGCTGCTAAAGTTTAATTATTCCTTTGTAACTATAGGACATAAAGTATATAAAACCAAGCTTCTTTCTGGTTTGCTGTTTATAGGCAAGCCCTGAATCTAAATCTTCCTCACAAGCTCAAGTGTATACGCACAAAAGTATAACAGGCACTTAGAAGTTTATGGTTATCTGACCGTTGGTAAGTGCACAGAGAATAAATACGATCATCAAAGACAGTGTTGAAAGAATAATAAGCGAATATTTTGTTTTTCAGTTGGATCTCCGCCAACTGATACTCTCGTCTGTACAAATGTAGTACCTAAACTCCATACCGACTGATGACCATAACACGCTTTAGCAATCAACAGCAATGATAACATACAGATATAAATAGCCTTTCCAGTAATAATCCCAAGCAACAAATATCGTCAGCAAATAATAGTACACCTGTATAACATTTAATCCTTTCGCGCCATCTTGATAGAATCAGCACCAGTTTCGACAACGCGGAAAGCATCAGCGTCGCCCTGTCCGCTCGCAGCCTTCTCATAAGCTGCTTCACTTCTGTCACAGAGAACATCGAGGTCAGCGTCGCTGAGGACTTCTTCACCCCCTGAGGCCTTGTACACTTGACCATCCTTCAAGAGCAGAGCGCGGAGCGACTCAGGGTCGATGTCTTCGTGGAGATCCATCTTTTGACCCATTGATTTGAAGTTACCCTTCTTGATGACGAGTTTCTCAAGTCGGCGCTTGGCGTCGGCGGAGTTGAGGAGCCTTTCCTCGACTGTGTCCTTGGTGGCGAGTCGGAATACAACGACGGGCCGGGTTTGGCCGATACGATGACAGCGGTCTTGAGCTTGGAGATCTTGTTGGGGGTTGAAGTCTGAGTCAAATAAGATGACTGTGTCAGCTGAAGCGAGGTTGATGCCCTGACCACCAGCGCGGGTAGAGAGCAGAAAGATCTTGTACTCGGGATCGCTGTTGAAATCAGCGATTTGAGTTCGTCGACTTTCCTGTGCGACAGAACCGTCGATACGGCAGACTTTCCAGCCGCGGAGTTCACGGCAGTAGTCTTCGAGGATGTCAAGCTGAGTAGTAAATTGTGAGAAGATGAGGACCTTGTGGTCATCCTGGAACAAACGAGGCAGTAGACGATCGAGGAGAAGCATTTTGCCGGAGGCAGTGACTATAGAGTCATCGACAGGAAGATCTGTGGAGGCGATCCAAGGGTTGTAGAAGTTGTGAGGTGAGTTACAAACAAGTCGCAGCTGTGCCAGGGGGTTGCCGAGCTTCTTCTGACCAATCTGCTTTTCTGCGCCATGTTAGTGTATCCTTGAGTAGGTAGTAAATGAATAAACTTACTCGCAAGCTCGAATGCCTCGGCTCGTTGGCGTTCTTCTGGTGTCATCGACACTTGATCACTCAAGTCCTCATCGTCAGAGACCATCTCATTCGCCAACTTTGCTTCAAACTCATCATCGGACATCTTCTCCTCATCTGAACCAGCATCTTTATAGGTTCTTGTCTTTCTCGGTCGTCCACGCGTGCTCACTGGCGTTGACTGGCGTGTTGATTTTGCGCTCTTTGGCTCTGGCTCCAAAGAAGCGGGAGCACCCTTTCGTTTACCCCCAGATTTGGGTGTCACCGGTGCCTCTTCGAGCTTCGGCCTCTTCGGTGGTCTGCCACGGCCGCGCTTAGCCATCATGAACGAAAAGACATTGGCTGCTGGCTCCTCTGGTTCGACCTGCTTCTTACGCGGGGATTCACGAACGGGGAGTGTCATGGTCTTTGGTGCGGCGACACTGCTTGATCGGGATGATTCGGCGTTTGCTTCAGTCGACTCGGTGCCGTAGATCTTTTCATGCACCTTGTCCTCCAGATACTGTCGGGTATCGACCTTTTTATTGGTAAGGACATTGTAAAGATCTGTTTGCTCCTTTGTCATGGGCGCGAAGAGCACGTATTCTCTCTTCTTCGGGAGGTAGGCTGCCACATCCTGTTTGATACGTCTCAGCAGCATAGGCTGAAGAATGAGGTGAATCTTCTTTACAAGCTCTTGCTTCTTCTGATCAGCGATGAACTCCTCTGTGCCCTGCTCATCTTCGAGATCAGAAAAGTCAAACCAAGATTCGAACGCTTCCCAGTCTGTAAAAATGTTGGGCAACAGGAAGTGGAGTAGCGACCACAGCTCTTTGAGATTGTTTTGAAGAGGCGTTCCGGTGATGAGTAGGCGAGTTGCAGATGAGAACTGACGAAGTTGCTGGAACAGTTTGGCGTCTGCATTTTTCATGCGATGACCTTCATCCTAAGCTTCATGTTAACATGGTGTAGGTGAGGATGAGATAATGAGGCTTACAATAATGATGAACTCCCAGTTGATCTTGGACAAGTTGTGCTGATCTCTGAGAACCATCTCATAGGATGTGCACACCACAGGAAATTTCGTGGTGGGACGGCCAGCTTTGAGATGCTTCAGCATTTTGGTCCTGAAGATCTTCTCACGATCATCTTTGTTGCCATGATACATGATGACAGGGATAGAAGGCGTCCATTTGGTAAACTCATCTTCCCAGTTTGAGAGTGTACTCAGAGGAGCGACGATCAAATGAGGGCCGAGATAATTCTCCTGCTCACGAAGCAGCGCAATCAAGGCGATGGTTTGAACAGTCTTGCCTGGAATAAGTTAGTACTTATGAGATGCTAATCAAGTGAAAGCAAAACTTACCAAGACCCATCTCATCGGCTAAAATACCAGACATGCCTTGAGAGCAAATCTCATACATCCATGTGAGACCCTCAAGCTGGTAGTCTCTCATAGTACCATTTATCATACACTTTGGCTGCTGAGCCATCTCCAAGCTGTGCTCACCCAGCGTCTTGCCATCGAGACTGCTACCGACCCGACCCAACACCTGAGTCTTTTTAGTGAGGATATCTGAGAAAGCAGCTGACTTTGCGAGCAAGTCGTCAAGTTCTCTAGCCTTGGCTTCACGCTCAGACTTTGTCTCAGCCTTCTTCTTTTTCTTCCTCTTGAGCATCGCCTGTCGTCGCTTCTCCTCATTCCTCTCATTTTCTAGACGCGCCTCTTGCTCTTCCTTGATAAGCGCCTCATCGGCACCTTCAAGATCATCTTGTTGCTCCGAGGGGGGCGAGCTGGGCACGCTTGTAGGCAGCCGTGAGTTGGAACGAGCTGAGCTAGAGTTGCTCGGCGACTTGGGTGCCGCCATGTTCAAATGAATATTATAATGATGTATAAAAGAATGAGTAAACAAAGAATATAAAGAGAGAAAAAAGAGCGTCAGGGGCCGAGTCGAGCTCAAGGCTTGGTTAGTGGTTTCGGCGATCCGATCCGCTAGTGAGCAGGATGATGTAGTTGACTCGCCTCGAATCGGGGCGTGCAAAAAAAAGAAAAGGGAGAAATTTCTCAGGGGGAGTACAAAAGTGGTGTAAGAGAAACAGGCCCAGGTAAGCAGGTAATTCAGGGCAAAAAATAACAATTGATATACAATAAATAAGCCGATTAATTATGTCGGTTCTCTTGGACAATTGTCGTTGCCGTGTCTTCTCCCCTGACAATAATACAAGAGACAATGGGCGTTACCGCGTAAAGGAGAAAACGCGAGAAAGGGGCGATGTCACGAGTTAGTACTAGGTTAGCGCGTTGCAAGGAAACGATGGAACAGCCACATTCTTACTCAACGCCACAGCAACGCCTCACGTCTCCCCTCACCAATTCAATTAGTACCCCTCCACCCCACCAAGAGAAAATATCAAGACACACACCTACCAATACAGTAGAGTCAGTCACCTGCTTAACGTCACTTTCTCTTCAACATCAATCCCTGAGTGAAGCTATACCGAAGCTTCATCTCTCATCACAGCCAACCTGTTCGCCCTTCGACTTCTCCGCCAGGCACCCCGCAGCCTCTCTCCGTTGATATCCTTCAGAATGGCATCCTTCGCCTCCCAGACCTACACTCCTACCGAGGAGGCTGAGATCCAGCAATGGCTCACCACCTCCGAGCGTCTCAAGTCCCCCGAGGACAAGTCCATCATCCTCGAGACCCTCAACAACCACCTCTCCAGCCGCTCCACCCTCCTCGGCAGCAAGCCCTCCAAGGCCGACGTCGCCATCTACGAGACCCTCGCTCCCATCGTCGCCAAGTGGTCTCCCGAGGAGCGAACCGGCGAGAAGGGCCACCCCCACATCGTCCGCCACGTCGACTTCGTCCAGAACTCTCCCCTGTTCGGCCTCGATGTCAAGGATGAGAACAAGGTCCAGGTTGATCGTGATAACGTTCTCTACGTGAAGCCTCCCGTTGACGCCAAGGCTGAGAAGGAGAAGAAGAAGAAGGAGGCTGCTGCTACCGCTGCCGCTGGTGGTGAGGCTTCGCTTGTTGATCGCACCAAGGAGAAGGTCAAGGAGGTTGTTGAGACGGCCAAGGAGAAGATTGCTACCGACAAGCCTAAGAAGGAGAAGAAGGAGAAGGCTCCCAAGCAAAAGGCTGCCCCCGCCCCTGCTGCCCCTCTCTCCCCTGCTCTGATTGACCTCCGAGTTGGTCACATTCTCAAGGCCATCAACCACCCCGACGCCGACTCCCTCTACGTCTCCACCATCGCTGTCGGCGACAAGCCCGGCAACGAGGACTACGTCGAGTACGAGGGACAAGTCTGCCGCACCGTCTGCTCCGGTCTCAATGGCCTCGTCCCTCTCGAGTCCATGCAGGGCCGCAAGGTCGTCGTGGTCTGCAACCTCAAGCCCGTCAAGATGCGTGGCATCAAGTCCTGCGCCATGGTCCTCGCTGCCTCTCCCAAGATCAAGGAGGGTGAGGTCGATGACCACAAGGGCCCTGTTGAGCTCGTCACCCCCCCTGAGGGTGCCAAGGCCGGCGACCGTGTTTGGTTCGAGGGCTGGGAGGGTAGCCCCGAGGGTGTTCTGAACCCTAAGAAGAAGATCTGGGAGACTTTCCAGCCTGGTTTCACTACCACTGATGGTCTTGAGGTTGCTTTTGATGCGGGTGTTGTTGAGCAGCTTGGAAAGACTGGCCGTGGACGTCTTGTTACTGAGAGTGGTGGTGTCTGCACTGTCCCCAGCCTCAAGGATGCTGTTGTCCGATAAATGCAAAGTTAGAATGCATGTCGTGTAGAAGAACAAAAAATGATAGACCAATGTCAACAGCACTTTCAAGAAACGTATAAATGTTTGAACATCTTGTTGTTGTTTATTTGTTTAGACGTCGAGGTCCATCTGACCCCTTTTCACCTCCAACACTAATGTACAGTACATATTCTACATCCTCCTCCCATGGTATACAAAGTGCCGCCAACAGCCGCCGTACTCCCTCTATCCGAATGCTTTTTTGGTTCTTCGCTATCATGAATAAAAAAATAACCCATCTCTAAACGCCAAATGCACAACGCCCAAATCATTTCTCCTTCTCGTGTCCGTCTTCATCATAGTGATACATTATAACAATGACTTCGGAGATGCGTCAATCAGGAGAAGAAATACTGACTTTGTCGCAGCTGCCTTACGTCAAAATCGCCCTGGGAACCATGTTAGTATATGTTGAATTGCAGCGACCTCAGACTCTCGACATACCTTTTTGGGGAGATCGGGGAAGGTCAGCGGACGCCAGAAATGCGTGACCTTCTTCCAGCGTTGCTTGGATTCCTTCTTGGGTTGGATAACTTTGACCTCGAAACTGGTATGCTTAAGACGCTCAAGCAGCCCGTTGCTTATCTCAGCAAATTTGTCCTCCGCAGGCTCCATACTCTTTACGGCCTCCTGAACTGCCGACGAGAGGTTGCCTTCCGACTCAGGAATGTGTCCGAGGCCGCCAATGTCCTCAGTCTCCTTCTCGATCTCAGGGTCCTCCTGCTGCTCGGCTGGCATCGCCTCAACGATGGAGGCAGGCGTAATGATCTTCTTTGCTGCCTCAACGTCCCAGGGATTGCCTGAGCGTAGGAGAGAGTTGCGCTTGTGTTCTAGCAGCACTTCTTCCGTTTGAGTGAGCTTGCTCGTCTTGCGGAATTCCCGGATCTTCGCAGCGGCAGCGCTTGTATTAGGGATGTTGGCTAGGTATAACGAACCCCTGTATCGGGCTTCGAACTCGGCTGCCAGTCGACCGACGACATCCTCCTCGTGGATTCGGATGAAAGCATCGCGCAAAACTCCGCTCAAAATATCCACATCCGCGGCATGAGTCCAGAAGGAATCGTGAACGGCAGCGAACTTCAAGCCGAGCTCGTCACACTTGAGGGCTGAGAGAAGCATGTGGCTGGCATCCAGTGAATGGATGAAATTGGGGGGGAATCCTTGAAGTTGCTTTCTGCGATCCACAGGCTCTGTCTGACCCTGCGTAGGATAACTGATGGATTGCAGACAAGTGCGGATCTCTCTGGTAATTGCCTTTCGGTAAGGCTGCACGACAGGCATTCTCAAGGGTGTAGTCCAAACCACTGTAGATCGAAACTGTGAGGTCAACTCATCCAATTCCTTGGTCTTGCCTGCGGCAGTCTTCCTTGCAGCAGGCTTGTTGTCTTTCTCCTCTTGCAACTGATCGAGCTGGGCTAGTGTGAGGGCTTTGCAGACACGCGCGCCAATTTCACCAAGCCAGTATTGAATATCATGAGCACCTCGGAACATTGTTCCAAGAGCATTGAAGATATGCTGTGCAATATACGTAGCGGTCACAAGGTTGGGAATGCCAGTCTCTTTGTACATCTCTGGGTAGAGGGCATCCAACTGCTTGCAAACTTGTTGCTTGGCTCCTGAAAACGTGACACCATAGACGTTGGTCATGACAGTTTGCTTTACTACCTTTCTGGTGATTTTACCTAGGCAGTTCTTTCCGAGCTGACTACCTGCTTCGGCGTCTTTCTCGATCGACTCCTTGACAAGGTTGGCAACAGCCGAGTATACATCGGCAGGTCGGTCACTAGGCATGAGGTTGACCTGTTGAGCACCCCAGGTATCACCGCCAAGGGCGGCGTAATGCTGGAGACCGTTGCAGGTACCATCTTGATGCACTGGTAGATTGGAGACAAAGTCGGTAGGATCAGGGAGATCATAGGCAGCCTTCAGCTCGAAACAGGTAGCCAGGCATTGCCAAGGATCTTCAGCCTTCAACCACCATCGACTACCATTCAGCGGGTTCTCGACACTCTCTCTAATGTTGGCAAGGTTGTCGGTGGCGAATGCCTCTCTCTCGTCGAATGAGGCCTTGTCGAAGCCGTACAGATTAGCAAGGTGGATTTTGAGCCATCGAAGACCTTGCTGGCCAAGTCTCTTCCCCTCGGCGAATTTCAGGAGAGCACGTGTGTGATCAGCTCCCATGTGGTTCAGGTATGTCGGGATAGGATAAGCACGGCCTCGATAGTCCATGTTGTGAGGGAAGTAAACGACTTGCTTGCGGAACGCGCGAGCGATCTCCAATTGCAAGTTCATGTAGCATCGTTGTGAATGAAGGGCTCCACGCTCGTTCTCGACCTGCTTGACCTTTCGAATCCAAGCCCGGCGGAGGAGAGGGTCTGAGTTTGTGGGTTCTGGTGGCATTTCAAGGTTGGGTGTGAGCTCTGGCATGTTGGCGATGGCATCACCACTGTTCCAGGCCTCGACCATCACGTCGAGAACCGGGTTGTTGACCCTCCACGGTGTTTTCCCCAGCACGTCCAAGCCCTTGAAGACCTGGTCCATGTCGCCACGCTTGATGGCCGCATTGGCGTAAAGCTTTTGCTCAACGTCTCCCGACTTGACACGGATTAAGGAGGCTCTGCTCATCAAGAAGCCTCCTTCATTGATGCGAGTCCACGGCCTAGGTTCGGCAATCATAGGGAGGTGCTTAGCAAGGAAATCACCCATAGGTTCCCGTTTCAACCGGTCGACAAGCTCTGGGTTAATGGTTAACATTCCGACCTTCTTTCCCTTCTTGGGAGCCTGCATATGAGAAAAGGCAGGCTGGAGTTGGCTGATTCGTTCCTTTGAAATAGGATGTTCCTTCACAACATTAACCTTGGCGGTCTCAATGAGAGATTTCAAGAGAATCGATCCAATACGGGCCCTCACTTGGATAGACCATGGTGATAGCACAGGATCTTTTGCTCCAGTCGGCTCGTAAGCATCAGTAATGATCTTTTGCCGAACCCGCTCATTCGTCTCTGTAGGCGCATCAGCCTCCATAACCTCTGTGGAAGCATTCGCTTCAGTCGATTCCTTCGCGTCTATCGGCTTAGTTGCCTTTACCGGCTCCTTCGGCCCAGCTGCTACCGTCTCTTTCTCGCCTGCTAGAAACTGGACTTTGCGGAGCCGGCGCCGTTCCTTTGCCGCCTTTTCCTTCAACTGAGTCTGGATATCGTCCTGGGCTACTCGAGAAACGTCGTTGAGGAGTCGTTGAATGACCACACCCTTATCAACGCCCTGTAATGCACTGATGTTGAGCAAAGTGAGGATGGTCACTGCTGCCATTCGAGTAGGGTCTGCCATTCGAAGGATAGGACCGTAGATACAGCGCTCGAGATCCTCTTCAGACTTGACTTCCTTTTCTTCGGATTCCTCGACCTTGATGATCTCTTCTCTTAAACGGGCCTCCATGGCCACAAGCCAGCGTTGCAGGCAATCGGCAAGACTGTTATCCTCGGACTTGGCATTCAGAGCTGTGTTGATACCCATCTTGTCCATCTTCTTCTTTGCAGTTCGCCATTTCTCAATAGCGGTATCGATGGAATCCTTTTCTAGACGCATTTGAAATTCGCGCTGCTCCAGAGGATCCAGCTTGGAGATATCCACATTTTGGAGTTCGGCCATGAGGTTTAGATTTCGTCGTAAAGAGTTCAGACCTCCTCCTCGTTGGGGTGTCGGACGGACCTCGGGATAATCCTCACTCGCAAACGCCGCCATATCGTCATTGAGGTCCTCTTCCAGCTCAAGTCCCTCTTCTTCGCTTGCAAGACTAACGTAGCTTTCCTCAGATCCGGGCTCGACCCTGTAAGTAGGGCAAATTTCGGTGATAACACCAAGGTCCTGGTCGCTGAGAATATCGGCTCTGCTCAATACTCGCAGGCCCGCCTCGTCAGGAGCCATGCTCATATAGCGGTTGATGAGTCGTTCCAAGCGGGCTCCACGTTCCGAGATCAGTGAGGCCTTGAGCATGCATGCGATTGTCTCCGCGGTTTGTGGTATATTCTGGTTCCTTATTTGCAACTCGTACCACTTGTGAAGTAGTTCGGCTTGCTTTCGGTCAGGGTTCGTTCGAAGTTGGTCGAGAGAGGCGCGGAGATATTGATTGTGCAAAATGATCATTTCTTCACCAGGGAGCAAACCGGTCAAGTTCAGGCGCTTCAGAACGAGAGATGCTCGGTCAAGCTTGCCTACGCGAACACAAGCATCAAAGACTGGAATCATCTCTTCGACCTCACCAGGAACGCCCTTGTTGTTGATCTTGCCGAATTGTCGAGGTGCTACTGGCTCCGGAATTGTCAACAGAGACGTCGGGTCGAGAGAACGAAGGTCCGAGTAGGAAGGCGGAGGCGGGGGAGCTTGGAACGGCTGTAGACCAGAGCTAGCAAGCTGGCTGTGTAAAGCACCAAGGTTATGGCCAAAGTTATAATCGTCGACAGCTGTCGCGAGATTTCTTCCATGGTTGAGACCAGGGCCAGACTCTGAGCCTCGGCGCTTGCGGGGTTGGTATGGCTGAGAAACAACACATCTTCGTCCCAGGTTGGTTGCTGTGATGTGTGATGGTAAAGATCTCGAAGGAAGTCCAATTGATCGGAGGGCAGTCGTCCTGTGAAGAGCCAGGCTCCTCCTCGTTTGTCGAACGAACATTGTGATGGTTTGGTGGGAGTCGTCGGAAGAGCGGTGGTTATGAGGGGGCGAAATTGCCCAGCTGCGAGAAGCTCAACAGAGAATGGCTGCTGAGTGGATGGAATATTATAACATTAGGCAGGAAATAAATAACACGAGCTAATGAATTCGACTCGCAGACAAGGCAAGTACAAGAAGGAGTGTCGCAGCAATTGTTGATGGACAAGTCTTGTCCTGTTGCTGCTGTCGCGTGAAGCAGATACTTGGAATCGATCTCCAAATTTTTCAGCATCGAAGGATTGGACGGTAAACTGAGAAACACTAGAGAGGTCACGTGTGGAGTAAATCGTGGCAATAAAATAGCAGGGGACTTCTTCAGCCCCACCCGAAATTCGAGAAGACTGTAGAGATGAAAGTGGGTTGCACGAGACTTTCAATCGAAGAGCGTTAAAGAACCATTGGAAATAGCATTGTTAATTTAATACAAACCATATTGATCTCAGCTCTCTAACGGAGCTTCTCATCCCTTTTGTCCATGATCAGACCCAAATTTGAGGCCCTGTCTACCGCATTCTCTGCTGTCGGGCCTCTCCAGGGTGCAGATTTTATTCTATGGAGCCCGCCTCAGCCGATCGAGAGCTGTAAACCGTTCTTCTCCACTTCACGACTGGACTGCACCAAATTCAGCCATGACGCTCTACGCTTCTTTATTATTAGCTCCGTGACTCTGATTTTCTAGCCTTGCATCTCAATCGAGAGATCAAACTCACCATGCTCATTCGACCTGCGGCTGCGGCATTGAGTTGTCGCCAATGCCAATCCGCTATTATTCGTGCTGTTGTATCAAGGCCAGCCACAAGCTCTTTTCGCAGCTTGCCACAGACCACTCCACGACGGCTTCCTCTAGCGACAAGGTTCTACTCAGATCTTAAAGCGCACGAGACGATAATCGAAAAAGAGTCTTCGAGCCCGGTTCCTCCAAGCGACGCTCTCAATTCGGAACTCGAAGCTACAGAAGAGGCCGAAGATTCTAAAGATGTTCCTTGGTTCCTTGAAGTTGAACCCCCACGACACCCCGAGAATCAACATGCCGTCCAATTACCAAAGATACCCGAAGGTGCACCAGAGTTCCTGGAACCAATGGTGAAATACATCTTCGAGGACATGGGATTAGACGAGATTTCTATGCTGGACATGCGCGACCTTGATCCTCCGGCTGCTCTTGGTCCCAACTTGATCATGCTTTTTGCGACAGCTCGAAGTGAACGACATCTTCACATTTCCTCCGGTCGTTTTGTACGATGGCTTCGGAAAAATCACAACATATCTGCAAGAGCCGATGGATTAATTGGACCTGGTGAACTAAGGACGAAACTCCGCCGACTGCGGAAAAAGGCAAAGCTGATGGGTACCAATACTGCTATTATTCCTGGTGGCGACAATGGTATCTCTACAGGATGGGTCTGCGTGAACTTTTCCTCCAACAGCGACAACGTCGATGAAGCTGCCAAGGTAGATGATAGTGGCCGCTTCTCTGGTTTTGGTGCCCCCCAAACAGGCACCACAGTGGTTATCCAATGTATGACGGAATCCCGGCGTGCAGAACTTGACCTCGAGGGTCTATGGCAGACTGTTCTAAAGAAGAATTTGCGAGAAAACAAGCAAGCTCGCGGTGAGAAGATCGACAGCCCTGAGGAGCTTGATGAACTTCTGGCCAGCAAAGTCCAGCTCCCCAAGTCAGAATCTGCACAACAATGGCAGGCCTTACAAAAAGCGTCCCAACAACAACGACGTGCCTACACCACGAGTGCCAGACGGCTTTCACCAGAGCCTTCACATATTGCTCACACTTCTTCCGCCGTATCAGATGGACTCGTTGACCTCCGAGACCACTCAGCGCAAACAACCCCGGATCTGGAACAGGTCCGTAAGCGCTTTGAGCATATTCAGCTGGTGGGATTGCCCCTCGATCATAGCCAAATCTATCAGTTCGTCCAAGATGCTATGGTAGCGCCTGCAACTGAGCCTGCTTCCGGGTCACGGCTCACTCTTGTTGATCAGATCCTACTAACGGCCGAGGAGCGAGGCATGACCATCTGGACCGATAAAATGTTCTTCACGCTTATCGAGGGAGGTCTGTCATCGCCATCATTTGGACAACCTCAGCTCGCACGTGCTCAGAAGAACCTCGAAACGCTCATGGTGCAGAAGGACTGTCGATTCAACAACCATCAAACGAGCCGGCTGCTATCCGCCTACGCGAGACGGGAGGACTGGTCCCGATTTTGGGACACGTTCCGCAGACCACCTCTCTTCAAGAAAGCCAGGAACTCAAATGTCTACAAAACGGTCTATGAGGAGATGGCACGTACCAACAACCAGGTCTTTTGCATCGAGAATCTACATTGGGTGTATGATGAGATGATCAACGAGCCTCAGCCCCTACCCATGATCGGCCCGTTGTACGGTTCGCTCAAGGCGTGTATCAGGGTCGCTGATCCAGCGGCTGCAAAGCTCTTGGAATTAAACGCTGGTGATGTTAGAGTACGGTCACATTATAGCAGGCAGAGGTTGGCGAACAGACAGTATCTCAAGATGTTAAAGGAGGTTGAAGCTCTCCATACTGAGACTACTGCGTACTTTGTTAGGCAGAGAATGTATCAAGGCACGAATGCGTCTCAGGATCTGGATTTGACTGGGGATGAATAGTTTCACAGAGAAGCATTGGAAAAGCACAGTATGGGTTCGGGTCTTGTGTATAACAAATCATATGTAACAATATCATGATACATCTAGGAATATGCTTTCTCGGGCAAGGTCTCGAGAAGAATTTCATGACTTGCAATGATGTATCCTCTTCAGTGACGTATCGCCTTCCATTCATACAGTTATATCTTGGAACTCTGCAGCCCTTGCAGTCAACTCTTCTTAAGAGCCTCCCTCAACAAAGGCGCAACCTGCTTTCTACTAGCAGCAAGTTCCTTCTGCCTCCAAGCGAACCTCTTGTGCCCATGATGATCCAGCTCGCCCTCCTTCCACGTCTCCAACTTCAACTTATCACCAGCTTGCACAAACCTATCCACCGCCTCACGGCCTTGGTCGGTGACACCCCAAACAAGCAGGTGGCGCTGAAACTCCCCGTTGGGATGAGATGTTGTCATTATGCTTGCCACGTCGAGTTCGCGCTCCTTCGCCCAGTCCTCAAAAGCATCGACCAGTGGCTCTGAAGCACCGGCTTTGTCGACGAGGTAATTGAGGTCTTGTACCACACAGCTTATTCCAAGCTTTAGGCCTGAGCCCTCCCATTCTTTGTAGTCTTTGCGCAGAATGTCGCGGAAACTCAGGTCAGAAATATCCTCCTTAACAGCAGAGATCTCGTCAAAGTAGGCTGTGCGTTTGAAAGATTTGTGAATGCGCCCTTCTAGGAATTCAGCCGCCTTCAAGTCCTTTTCTCGAACCTTTTCCTTGGCCGTGAGGTTGATTGTGTCAGAAATAATAGGAGCAAGCGCAAGTCTAGTAAGCTTGTCGTTCTCCGTAGCCGCATCGCTATCTTCAGGATCTAGATGCGAAATCTCCTCCCAGGTCTTCCTCGTCTCATCCACCACCAGACTCATACAGCTTCCGCAAGGTTCAACGACTCTTGGGTCTGCATCTTTAGCAATGACGTTCTCATCGGCATGGTGATCAATACAGCCAGTGACACGGTCCGAAAACTTCTTAAGTGGACCTGTGAGGGAGTTATGATCAACCAACAACCAGTGTGTTTCCTCAGGTTTCAGGTCTGGAAGTTCAGATAGAGTTAGGAGATCTTTGAGAGTGAGACCAGCGTGTTTGAGAACTGCTGACATCTCGGTGCGAAGAGCGAGGTCATCGCGGGGCAGGTTTGAGAGGGGAATGTGTAGGGTATGAGGAGGGGTATGAGTGCGCATATAAGCGTAGACAAGAGCTGAGCAGAGAGAATCAAGGTCTGTTTTTGTTAGCTGAAACTGTCGTCAGATACGAGTAGCACTTGACTTACCAGCTGATTCATTCCCTACAACAAAAGTAAGAGGTCCCTTTCGTTGCGCCGCTGGAGCTGTCAAAGCAGCTCGCGCTTTGGCCAAAAAGCCACCCAAGGATAATCTCGAGGCCATATTGACTGAAATCGCCATGTTTGATGCAGAAAGAAGAAGGAAAGGAACAAAAGTGCGAAGAAGGAATAAGAAGAATAAGCCGCCTATAACGTTCAAAAAATATAACAAAACTCAACTCACGAGAGTCCCTGCATGTGTTTTATGTAAGTTGTAAGTTGAAGCTTAAACGGTCAAGACGTCACCCAGAATAATTTTGCAGGGAACATCAGCCACAAAAACTGTCACTTGATGAGCTCGCCCCATCCTTGACAGTTGGGTCAGAGCCAGCGAAACGACATTGCAGTAGCTAGTGCTTACTGAGGGATGAGAAAGCTATAGCATTAGTTGTATACATGCATTTTTTTCTGCATTCATCCAGTCTCTGGGCGTTATTTTATCATTGCGATGGAAATGGCTTGCGCAACGTAACTCTATGCGTGACATTTATATGCAAGGTGCCATGCCCTGCTGATGCCAATCAGCCCTACATCGAGTTTGTTGTTTGTCCCTTGTAATTAGCAGGCCTACCTAGACCTCCCGGTAGATCTCACTCTGTTGAGCAAGTACCTAGGACATGAAAGCACCATCTTTCAGTACCTTACCTACTATCTGTAGTATGTATCTTGAATACAACAATTTATTACATAGTAGATCCCTGCATCGTATCATTCGGACTGCATAAGCCAAGATGCTGTTTTGCATGCTCCTTGTATACATACAAACCAGCAGATTTCGCATGAAAAGACAGTGTTTCCATGTGAATCTATACCACGCTCTCGTATTATTCCTGTGAGTCGTCGTAGACCGCCTGTAACGTTACCAAGTACTTTCTACCTCCAACTACCGGCTTCTCACCGCTTCCCTATCCGGTCGTATAACATCATTGTCTCCAATTCTGCCCGCTTATCTCGCCTCATGTCATGTCCCCCCCGCCCGCTATCGGTCCCGCCGTTACACGAGCAGGAAGGGTCCATCTCCAGACCGGGCCTTGCAGCCTGCGCCCTTGGCCGTTTTTCGCTCAACAGTCATATCTCCAGCTCAAACTTCTAAACTCTTCTCTCCTTACATTGGATCCAAACACTGCCCAAAATGGCTCCTCTTCGCCTCGCTATCCTCGAAGCTGACACCCCCCAGCCCCAAACTCGCGATCGCTTTGGTGGCTACACTGGTGTCTTTACTGCGCTCCTCCAAGAAGCTGCAAAGCCTCAGAAGCTTGAGGATCTGGTTACTATCAAGGGCTACGATGTCGTGAACGAATTGTACTCTTATCCACCCCTCGACGACATCGATGCCGTTCTCATCACTGGCTCTCGACACACAGCGTTCGATAACGACCCCTGGATCATCAAGCTTGTTGAATTCACAAAGAAAGCCATTGACACGAATCGCATCCGAGTGGTAGGCGTATGCTTCGGCCACCAGATCGTCGGACGAGCTGAGGGCGCCAAGTGTGGACGCAGCAATAAGGGGTGGGAGGTTGCAGTCACAGAAGTTGACCTGACGGACAAGGGCAAGGAGATTTTCGGGTTGGACAAGATGGTAAGACCCGTTTGCTGCGCGCGTTATTGTACGACTGTTTCACTGACCTTGTTACACAGCGCATTCACCAAATGCATCGCGACATTGTGGACGACTTCCCCAAGGGCTCAATTCCTCTCGGTTCCAATGAGATCTGCGAAGTGCAGGGCTTCTACTCACCTGGACGATATCTCACAGTTCAGGGACACCCCGAGTTCACCAACGAGATTATTTCCGAGATTCTCTTCAACCGTCATACGGTTGGCATCTTCACGGATGAAGTGTATAACGAAGCTATGAAACGCGCGCCACTTCCGCATGACGGTGTTGCTATCGCTAAAGCTTTCCTCAAGTTCTATCGAGAGGGATAAAGAAGAGAAAACACTGCTGGAATGAATGGAAGAGTTTACGCGCTTGGAAGGTTTCTATGCGCAGCTAAACTTGAAAAAGGAGGGAGCGTTCGAATTGCACATTATACCAAATGGCGTAATGCTTAAATCTGTCTTGCTAGAGTGACGATATCAAATGACTTTAGATTATTATTCAAATGAACAAACATAAACGCAAATCCCCTTTGAGTGCTGATATTTCTGTCAACTTGGATGGAAATTGGTGATACGTCTAAACTGTGAATACTAGGAGTGCAGTTACAAGCTGACTGTAGATAAGTAGCATGCATGCTGCAATGCAACGAAGGATAAGTCGAATGGCCTTCTTTGCAAATTATTGTGAGGGTCTGATGTTGGGTTGTGTATTCATGATGCTTACTGGATACGCACTCTAGAAAGGAGTAGTTTCATCCAAACTCAATAAACGATAGGGGCTTCTCGTGCTATACGTGTGGTAATATTGCAGCGATTCATTGCCTCCTCTTTATCTCAACTCAAAGAACCTTCTCATAAGCCTAAGTCTAGTCTAAGACCATCCGCACAACTTGAGGCAGTGACTCAATGCCTCTTCCCCTCACGAATATATAAACCCTCCTTCATCTCCTCTCCTTCCTTTATTCCATCTCCCTCCTTCATCTTTAGTCCTTCACTCCTTCACACCCCTTCACCTTTTATCTCCTCCATCATTTCATCTTCCATCATGACTTCAGCATCTCCTGTCGCTGGTGCTAGCCAGCCCTTCTTAAAGAAAGAGGAATACGATTCTAATGATGAATACACTTTCCTCTCTTCAAGCAAGACTGAAGCAAAGAAGGGCGACCCACATCAGGCCATCTTCATCGATGATGATGATGATGGTGATGACGATGACAAGGAGAGTATTTCGGGGCTATTTACCCGGCCTCGACAGACTTCAGGTAACGACAACCTTAATATCGTCAAGGAAGAGAGCGACGAGGAAAAGGAGAGCTTCAAGAAAAAGAGACTGAAGCCTCAAAGCAAAGACACCATTACAGTCGGAGACTTCTGTGACACGATCAATGTTGACCCGGAGTCTAGTGACGAAGAGGACGATCCAGATTCTGCACACGAGGAGGACTCAGATTATCACGACTCAGACGACTCAAACAACTCAGACCACTCGGACAACTCGGATGACTCTGACGATTCAGAAACTGAGCAGAAGAAGCACAAGCCAAAACGAGGTGTTTTTAAAACCTCGTATATCAGAAAGCTTGTCAAAAAATGCGAGAATAAAAAAAATGCTTTGCTCGTCAGGAAGTACATGGGAGAAAAGTTGAGTCTTGCGGAGTGCGAGAAACTCGAAAAGCTGAAGGATCGAATCCCCAAAGCAAAGAAGGCACTTGAGAAATATGCGAGAGAATCTCCACCAAAAACTGCTCGAGAGTACTGGCAGCGGCATCTGAAGCGACAGGAGGAAAAAGAAGACAGAAAACGCAAACGTGACGGCGATGAGACAACCCCGAACAAACTTCAAAAAACAGACATGCAAGCTGGAACTTTTGGTGGAGCTGAAAACCCTGGTTTCTTAAGAGCAGCAGCCCTTTTCACCTCGAAAGGGGCTCAAGATGATGACGACGACGACAGTGAACCAGCGGACAAGATCAAGGCCACAACTCATGCGGCCCAGATGAGGCAGATCATGGCTGGCATTCCCGAGGGCAATGATACCCGACATACCAAGACGCAAAAGAAGGATCTAATGAAAGCCAAGAAATGCTTCGGGTACAAGCAGATTAAGGCTATTGACGGGAAGTGGAAGCTCAAAGGGATGGAAACCCCTATGCACAGTCAGCAGCTCGTGGCCGCTACCTGGATGGTCAGGCGTGAAGCCATGGGATTGCATCCGGCAGGAGGTATCCTGGCCGACGAGATGGGTCTTGGAAAGACTATCACGGCTTTGGCGACAATCATCGGCCATCCAGCAGAGCGAGAGGACAGAGTTGATGGTTATGGTAAGGCAACTTTGGTGATTGCTGATAGTCCTAATTCGGCCTCATGGACCTGGATGGATCAAATCAACAATCATACCTCAGGAGGCTTTGCCGATAAGTGCCTGATATATGACAAGGAGCTTCACAAAAGTGCAAGATCGTTGAGTACGAGGAATGTGGTGTATGTTTATCGCTCAACTTTTACTTGTTGGACCAGAAACACTGACAGCTCAAAGGATCACTAATTTAAATCAACTACGTGCACAATTTATCAGCAAAAGGGAACGCCAAATGCTAAAGGCCAAATGGGCGGGAGACGAGAGCAGTTTTCAGCAAGCACTTTCAAAGAAGCTCGGCCTACTCTACAAAGTCAACTGGTATCGAATCATTTTGGACGAGGCTCATGGTATAAAGAACCACACCTCAAGTGGTCAGTTCCATGTAATGTATTTCCGTGTACTGTGTATACTCACATTGAACAGGTGCTCTCGCCGTCTGGCGACTGAACGCCAAATACCGTTGGGCTTTGACTGGCACACCCCTCGCCAACAAACTGGAAGGTGAGTATTCCGATAAGTTCAGTCGTCTTTTTCTCACGTAACTAGAGTTCTTTCCCTACTTGAAGTTTATTGGTTGCGATTTTGCAACTACCATGAAAAGATACCGAGCTGAGTATGTCACGAGCGTAAGTTTTGGAACTCAATCTATCTCTTACTCCTCTAAAAGAACCTAGGACCAGGCATCTGAAAACTTCGAACAATTAGTGGCCCTTGTCATGATGAGACGGTAAGCTTTCGATGTTGTGAATTAGTAGACAAGGGCTGACCTCCATCAGACAGCAGACTGAGAAGTTCCTGGGACACACTATGGTTCCCCTGCCAAAAGACCATCGTAGTGATATCTGGATTCCTTGTTCAAGCTGGGAGAAGATCCTTTTAGAGTACGTTTATGCCCTTGGAAAACTATGGCTTTGCACTTTGAGACTGATATAATTTGCAGGGTTGTGGATGGTGCATACCAAGAAAAGCTTCTCGAGGCCCAAAATGAAAGCCAAGATACTGCTGCACATGAACTCCAACCACATCAGGATACCGAGGAGAATGAAGTTGAATCCGACGACGAGAGTGAAGCTGACATCGAAGGTGACGAGAACAACGGCTCCAATGCTCTAGACGCGTACAGAATTCAGCTCCTGAGATGTATGAGGCTCCTGCAACTCACGTCTCACCCTCTCACCCTTGAGAAGTTCTATAGAGAGGAAGACCATGACGCATATATTGACCTGACCCTTGAGCGCCTGAAATCAGAAATCGCTCAATCAAATCTCGATGCAGACCAGAAGGCTCTGGAAGTGTCTCTCGAGCCAGCCTATTCCTCAGGGCTCCGACAGTTGGAGTTGGTGATCAAAGACAACTTTGGGGGTAGTGAGGAGATGGCAGAGCTACTCACACTTGCGGCTAATGAGAAAATGGTCAAAAACGTCACCTGTGCTCTCTGCCGCCAGAGAACACCTCCTGAGAAACCCGTCCAGAGCTCCAACGTAAGTTTGTGTCTAGGTCAAGCAGAGCGTTGCTAACATTACCAGTGCGAGCATATCTACTGCAGAGACTGCCTTTCAATTGCAACCAGCGGCGTTACCAAAACGGGTCGCCCTCGCGTGGTACGTCGATCAGGACATGGTGATGGCCTCTTCAGAGACTCTTGCTGACTCTAGTTACAGCCTGCCCAGTGTCGCGTCCCGGGATGCTCTCCAAAACTTGGCATGGGGCAAGCGGTAAAGACTCCGGAATGCATTGATTCAGCTGTAAAAGCTATAAAACGTTACAAGGAGCCTGGCCGTGACAGTATTGGCACACGGTGGACAGGCGGCCCAAAGGACATGGCCTCGTTCTTTCGCGCTGTTTGTGGCCGCGATGACATTGACTATGGTCCTGTCAGGATGCCCTTGAGCTCCAAAGTCAAAGCCACTTTGGCAGTAATGCTGACGTGGATGAGAGAGGCCCCCGATGACAAGGTAATCAGTAAGTATTCTTGTGGCTCCCTATGTGAGATATAGTAGTACTGACCCTAAGTCTAGTTTATGTCCAGTGGACTAGAACTGCAAAGGCTCTCGGGTGTGTTCTTGAGAGCCTGGGAATCCAATTTCTCTATTACAACCGTATGGCGAACCAGAAGCAGAAGAATCGAGCACTAGGTGAGTTCACCGATAACCCTGACGTCAAGATTCTAGTAAGTAATTCCCCTTTTTCATAAACACCTGCAAAAACTGACAATCATGTAGGTGTCGTCAATGAAGTGCGGTGGACAGTCCTTGAATCTCCAAATGGCCAACCGCATCATCATCGTTGACGAATGGTGGAACAAAGCTGTTGAGGAACAAGCTTTCAAGAGGGTCTACAGAACTGGCCAGTTGAAAGAGACTCATCTTGTTCGCATCATCGCGAAGGATACCATTGACGAACGTATCATCATGCTGCAAGACGCCAAGGAAGAGGTCATCCGAGCGGCTCTGCAGGACGGGGAGATGCAGCCAAACTTCTCCAACTATATTCAGCTTCAAATGCTCTTTTCCGGAAAGGACAAACAGACGCTGATCGCAGAGATGGAGGCGGAAGTTCGTGCCAAACAGGCTAAGCAGTGATTTCGCCTGAGGAGAAACTGAACGTGGGAGACGTTACGGGAGATACTTTTGGTCAATAATATTGCTGGGGATTTAAGAATGGCGCTTTGGGATTGAGAAAGGAAATACCGGAAGAAAATTCATGATGCAAATTGAGCAGATAGGTCATGTTCCTCAATACCCCCAGATAGTACTCGACAACAGATTGATAATACACCATTTGATGAACTATCGCTTTTTGGCTACAGTATTTGATGGAAGGCTCAAGTATCAAAACCAGTATCATAGGGTCTGAATTCTAAGTCACGGAGTAGATATTGCATCAAATGATGCTCCTGAAGACAGAGCATTGGGCCAGACAACACAGACATCGAGGCTAAAAATCTGCCTGAGCAAGTCACTCGGGAACAGGAACACATGTGTTAATCCCATTTATGCTAGAACTCGTACAAGCCCACGGTTGTAAAAGGTGTCTGCTATGGTATCTAAGAGTTACGCCGTCTAATCTAAGCATGTTCGACATATACGCTAAAAAGCCACCCAATGCATCCCAAATGCGCAACGCCATCTAATGCAAGTCCATGATGCCCCGTCATGATCTATACCTATGAAATCCTGGGTATTTCCATCCACACGCTCTCCGGAGCCCTCGACATTTTGTCATGCATCTCTTATTTACACACCATATAGTTCCTCATTACTCGTCAGCATCCCACCACTGGGGGGCGGCCCTCGCTGCTTTGCGGGCCTCATGAACAGCCTGACGATCCATTTCCCACTCAGCTTGTTCTTTTTGTCGTCTCTTTTTTGCGAAGCGAGAATCGAGTGTCATTTCCTCTCTTGTGCGTCCGACCCTTTCACCTACATCGGGCACTTCTTGTCGTCTTTTCCAAAACTGGACGTTGATGCGTTTGAAAGCCTGGCTATGTCTCCAAGGCTTCTCTTTCAGAGAAAAGACCACGGCATCGGCCAACCCGTGGAAACATAAAAATATAATACTGGCTAGTCTCATGCCATAGGGAGCTCCTCGTCCATAGCCAGTGAGTTGTACGATGAAGGGCAGAATCCAAATGACGACGTAGACTATCGGATAGATGAATAGTAACCGGAGTTGTCGCAAGATCTTTTCGCGTGACTTGACAGTACCAGGTGCGTTGAAGTCGCTCTGAGTCAAGACGAGGTTAGTGTTGCTGTTTGGGCTGTCTGGTGTGCGACGGAGTATGGCGAAAAGATTAGGTATAGATGGCGGCCTAGACGGAGCGTTTGAGCCATCTGGTCGATGAAAGAAGTCGGTTTGTATAGTAAATGATGGTGAGGCAACATCAGGGAGTGGTGTTTGATGGACAAGCTCGGGTCTTGTATGGGCGGCCAAAGGGGCAATCACGTCGTCTGAACCACATCGAGTTGTTCCCGTTGAGCTCTGAGAATCAACTTCTGCCTGTTCAGACTGAGATGTCAGATCGGTACCAAAGTTAGCCATCCACATCTGAGTCGATCCTCGTCGCGCCAGTCGTGCCGAATGAAGCCTGCTGGGATGCGTCGATCCAGGCAGATCCAGATGGAAAGAGTTGAAGGCCACAAGCGGAGGTCTCGTAGTCCGATCTTCGGACACGGTGAAGGAATTGCGCCGTGAAGGGTTGGAAGAAGGAATTAGACCATGGGATTTTATCGTAGGAGTCGGCGGTACAGTGGTGATTCCTTGATGCAAGGGGTCGAGACTTTCAAGACCCGAAATTTTTGAAAGAGTATTCTTCGAACTGTCGTTCCCGGAGCTGAATCGTCTCATCAATACTCGAACGTAAACGTATACGCCTATACATAGGCAGAGAATGACAGTAAAAGCCATATAGCGAGGAATCCAAGAAAGCGCCAGTCTCTTCCACATCGGGTTGAACGGTAGATAGCAAAACTGGCCAGTGTTAATGTAACCAGGGCTTTCGATGAATGCTAATGAAGCCATCACGACGGGTATAATGGCAGCAATAGCATAAGCCGCCTTTCGATATGGGTAGAGACCTTGCTCTCCGCGAAAGATATATAATGCAGTATGTACTGAGATGAGAGCGACAGAAACATCAGAAGCTTCTATACTAAGAGCAAGGAAGAATCCGCTGACTTGACAAAAGGTCTCAGTCGTTTCAATCCTGCCAGCGACAAGTTCCACGGCGGGGAAGATGAGTAGCCAGAAACTCTTGAACATATCACTATAAATGAGCAACATGATGAGGCTTTTCAAGGGTCAGCAACAGAGGGTAAGGAAGGGACACGAGACTCAAGACTCACTTATGGCGGAAACTCCGCCTCATTCGAAAGAACCAGAAGGAAGTTATTATGGTCGCAAGTATACTCATGGATGCGACGGTGAGAGTCGCAATATGGATGACATATGTCTGATGGGGAGTAAGAGCAGCCATGGTGAACTGCTTTACCCGACGTGGCTCGAGGCTGAGAGCCGTCGTTGAATTCGAGTCTGAATCTGCCCATGGCGAAAAGCCCCGGGCATTGCCTTCTTGAAGCCAGGGAGGCATGGTGGAGATGATGACGGGAAGTGGATGAGAATCGTCGATCCCTTCAAATCGGTGGGTATGTGTCAGAGATGCGGATCGTTGCTTGTCGTTAGACTGTCGATGTCTTAGTATCGAATATATCAAGACGCGAGCTGTGATGACCAACTGGAATCGACTGGTGACACTGGTGACAGTCGCATCGCGAGATAGTTCAAAGTTTTTGAGGTTGGAGACCAGGGAATTCGACCCCTGCAACAAAGGGAGGAGGGAATGGAGGGTTTAGCTTCTTATGAACCAAAATGCTCTCTAAAGCCAAGCAAAGCCAAAGCGGTCACCCGAAACTCTGAAGAGCCCAAAGGGTAATAAGAACGAAGAGGCGTGTGCGATGACCGAGATGTTTGCCGCGTGGGAGACCCGTAGGCGAATTCTCTCTCAGGTCGGATCCCGTCTTTGGCCTCAAGCCCACAAGAATTTGACTTTGATCTCCGTTCCTGTCACTGAGGTATGTATGAATGAATAACCTACCGAGCCTCGGGATTGGGGTCGAGCCCGGAATGGGGGAACTTTTGTCGTTTTCTTTACGAGACTTGTTTATGGTCGGTCATGAAACGACAGCCCTGCATAGATAGGTCCCTTGGCCTGTCAGGATAATTAATATCCTCTTTGTGGCTGTGGAAATCAAAGACTGATGACGATATTCCCGTGGTGGGTGTAAGTGCTGGATTTACCTCTGGTATGGTCTGGGGGAGGGATGTGCAATGCAAGCCAATAGTGATGTCCGGAGGCGGAAAGGCGCAACCAAGTTGAGGCGAGTACCTAGGTACTTTAAACAACTGAGAGACTTTCTTTTAGGATCTTGAGTTTGAGAGGGCGTCGCCAAACCCTCGACTAACAACCCATAAAGCATTGACTCGATCAATCCGACTCGAATTTTGATGGCTGCCTCTCCGACACTTGCTGAGCCACGACTGACGATAGATTCACTTTTAATTGTCGAGGGATGCCAAAAGCCAAAGTGGGATAAATTCAGAGACACGAGGGCAGTTAATGTTAGTGGACGAATGTGCGTTTCCGGGACGAGGTTTATCTTCATTCCACACGCCCAGAGTTGGGGACGAACGACTGCACTGACTGAGATGGCGGGGAAAAGAGCAAGAAACTATGATTGATTACGGCATTACACCGAGTATATAGGTAGGTAGTGATAGCTTTACTGGTACCTGTACCGTCCGCCTGGACCGAAGCGGATACAGCACTATACATACAGCCGACGACATTTTCCATCTTCCACACCGCAAGTAATTAAACGCTTTCTCTCTCCCATTCTGAGCGAGCTCAATGCAAAGTGACAGCTAGGCTTAAACCCCTGTCGCTTATTAGCTGCCCGCTACGTAAGGGAGACCAGAAGCGATACCATTTGACGACCACCTCCGTGCGCCACGCCCGACAAGGCGCCATCCGTCTCTGGGGCTAAACCAGATCTCGCAATGCGACTGGGCGAGACCAACAGTTTAGTTCATCCCGTCATCGCGAGAGAGACGATCTCTATAGTGGCCAATCAGGAAGAGCGATCTACCCTCCCGATCCGCACTTGAGGCGTTCAGCTTGCGAGTGAGTGGGAGGAGCGGGTGTCGAGACCCGAATCGAGGGTTCAGCAAATGTGAATCAGCATGCATGTCATTGTCACCTTTTGGGCTTTGATGGCGGTGGCAGCGGGATCACTCAGGCGAGACAAAGTCTGTTTCTCGTTCCTGGATACTCAGTGTTGATGCTCTGGATTAAATCGACGTCTAGCTTACTGTTCATGACGAACAAGGAAGCGAAGCGAGGTTCCCCTTCATCCCTGTTCAGTTCAGCTCAACCCCCTGGAAACTATCCGATCTAGGGTTAAATGGCAAAAAGAGGTGGTCAACTTAGCATTAGCTTAGTATATCTTTGCTGTTTTTATTTTGAGACCTTATATTAAGGTGTGATGTATTCCTGCTCCTCCAGGCCCACACACCCAATTTTCTAGCTATTGCTACCTCGGCATTTCATCCATGATGGAGATCTCACACGATCAATACAACCAAGGCTCGTGCCGAGATATTTTGTCTTGGCGTTGGTGAGGGGCCAACAAATATGAATTGTATCTCTCACCACAATCTTTCCCCTCAGTGCAGCTCCCGCATTTCTCCTGGGTACTGTTTTCTGTATCCGTCTTTACCCAAATAATTATGGCTGACAAACGGGCCTGCAAACAACTACCTAACTTAATTAGTTAGTGAGCCAACAGCCGGGACCTGGCTGTTTCTAGGCCAGGGACCAACACGCCTGTTCCTGGACATGATTCAGGGTTGCCCAACTAAGACACTAGGGCACTTGTCAAGAAGAGCGCCGCCTCGGTTCCTGACAAAGATTTGGAAACCCTTTCACTATGATCTTCTCTCTTTGTCGGGCATCTCGGTCACCAAGAAGGACCGAAAGGTATAATAGATTTGCCTAGCTAACGTTTGCCACGAGGGCTGGTGCTGAATCCGTCACGTTTCCCTTCTTCTTAAGTTTGCGTGTGTACAAGCCCCAGGTACAAACACTGAAGCCGAGAAGGCTCTCACTGACGATTTTCATCACCATTCGCCATTTTTGCCTTCAGCAGCTGATTTATGAATCACCGTTCATCAACAACTCGAGGCGTCTTGTCTGCCTGTTCATAGTTGCGTAACCATGATCCGACTTTGTTCTCAGCCTGCCTGTGAAAGTTCTTTTTTGATCAACACCAGACCAAACGTATTGCATTCCAGTCGCCCACTGCGAAGGCTTTCGCTTCAACCTTAATAACAAAGGCTCTTTCTACTGGCCTTTCTATCATTCTACGGCAAAATATCTGCTGCTGCTCAATACTATTCGGAGTTTAATAATCTCCGTTCATGTTCTGCGAAGGCTTCGCTTAAGCAAAGTGTGTCGGTCAGATATGCTCCTCACTGCGGAATACAGTGATGTTACCATTATTTCCACTTAGAGGATCAATGAGATGGATAACAACTCTAAATCTGTGATTATTAGAATGTATAATAGCTTGGCGGTCGCAATAAGCTCTCCTGAGCAGTTACTCCTTCGACTTTCTCCAGACCTGCGTCCCCGTTGTACGCGACTATCAGAACAACGCTGAACAAACAGAGATCGATCCAAGTTCTGATCCGCCGATGGTGACTTTGATTGGCTCATCGAAATTTCTAGTGAAATCGAGACAATGTTCGTTCTGGCATAGGAATGAGCTGGCTTCTAAGTGCTTAAGCATTGTAGTAGTTAACACGACCGCGTGCCCGAACAGCTCTTGAACACCAACTAACTAGTCCAAGGCCTAGAATTCTTAAGACTTTCATTGGGAGTGGATCTCTGTTCTCATATAAAGCATCGATTCCCTAGTCTGTATGTGGACATGGCCTTGTCTGGCACGCATGATCCACGCGCAGTGACATGACTACTATTTCCAAGACAAGCTGTTTGCGACGCGGAGATATCTCTAGGTCGCATCCTCTTACCATCGTTGATTCAGATACAACAGTCCAATGTCTTGACGGGTATCCACGTGTGGAGAGTGTCATCCGAGATATCTCATAGGGCTGTTCGTAAAGAACTTCCGAGTTCCATAGCAAGGCTATATGTATGGCAGATCGGGATTATTCACATCGATCGGAGGGTATCTTGCGTCTTGACTTGAAGTGACATGCAAAACAACAACTTGCTGTATCAGGTAAGTTTCCACAAGGCCTGTTAGATGTTCACGGATGAGTTTACTATGGGGTGTTCAAGTTGGGCAGAAGAAGGAGGATGGAAAATGGGGAGGGGTGATGGTCTTCCATCTATATCAAGTTTCTCAACCTTTTTTTTGTTCTATTTTCGTGTATTGGCCAATGCTCACAAGACCTCCAACCCTGTTCATTCTTCTGTTCCTTCAACTGTGTGTCCATTCAAAGAAGTGTCAACCTCCACTGACATCATGTAAATCCACCACAAATGAAATCGAAATATTCCTATCGCAACGCTCTCAAACGCACAATTTCAATTTCCAAATCCCATCTCTACCACTCTTAATACTGCCAGGCCTTTGAAGCTTCCGGATTTTGTTACGAGTGCGTCTCGGCATTGGGGGTGGCCAACTATCTCCTGAAGATCGCCAATTTTGAGCAGAGAGAGCCAGTTCTGCAAGTGGTTTTCGAGCGTTAGAGATGGCCGCAATTCTTTTATGAGCTTGCCTACCTCTCCATTGTCTCCGGTAACGTTTCATTGACTCCACCAACTCTCGAGGCTTTGACACCGGCACCACTCGTTCATGGCTGAAGTGGTCATGCGAGAAGTAATGGAAACGGCCCTCCTCAGGATACGGTGTGTCGCAGAGTTGGTTAAAGTTCCGGATCCATATGGTGTTGGTTGGTTCATAGCTGGCTGAGACGTCAGAAGCAAGTTGTTGTAGGTCCTGCTGTGACTGAGTCATCAAATGCCTGGCTAGAGGAAATTGAGCCCCTGATGCTGCTAACGCTGCGAAGCTATCACTTACTGGTGCATTACCTTCAAGCTCACATATCGGTGTACTCATGATAGGCTTTAGAGGAAAGTGGCTTTGAGCAGATGGCAATCTTTAGACGATCAGCTTTGGGGAATGATGGTTTTGAGGTGATGATGTCTCTTAGGGGATGATGATGCTTAGGAGAAGGAGTGGATTGAGAGTTCGAGAATTTATATGAACTTCATGATTCCTTATCGGGTCCTCAGCGGAAGCTATCACAGCTCCGGCTCGTTTGGAACTGTTCGCCGCACACTGGCGTCTCTGTCTTGTTGACTCGAGCCACTTTGCATGTCGAGGGATCGAATTTCTTTGTTGTCACTCGAGTGTCGTTTCTCTTTAATAGCAGGGCCATTCTCCTATCGTTGGCCTTGGATGTTCTGTGGATATTCGTAGGTTGTTCGTGGGTTTTGTCTGCTTGAACGTTCCCCAATGTGCCGGAAATTATCCTCTGTGGGCATTTGATCGGTTACTGGATATGGAAGAATGTTCGGGTTCCGTTCGTGTTCCTGCTGTTGCTGTTGCTCGTGTTGGTGTTCCTGTTCATCTCTCTGCTCAGGTCTTCCTTTGGATAGTTTGGCTCTACATCGAGGAATACATCTATACTTCCAGACACAGTAACAAAGGAATAAGGTGATGGGAATCACCACCAGCCATGCAAGTTTCGAGTTCGAGCCGTGCCCTTTGGGTCCCACGGGAGGTGCATCTGGAGCTTCCGTGGGCAAGATTGGCATGGCAGAGGTCGTTGTTGTAACCGTGGAGGTGATTTTTGCAATCGTTGTTTCCGTGGCAAAAGAAGTGATGAAGCTGGAGATCATGGTCGCCATTGCAGTGGTCAAGCTGGCACACAGACTGCTTGAGGATATACCTGATCCTGTCAAGGCAGAAGACGTAGGCCATGGCACATACTCAGGATCTCCATCAAGAAAGTCCTGCGCATTCTTGGCCTTATCGCTCAACTTCGCTGCTCTCAGATCTCTTTGAGGACAAACACCACGGAGGCAAGGATCCACAGCACAGCATCCTAGAAAAGGAAGTGCCTCTCCAAGGCAGGCGTACCAACTGACATCGACGTTGTCGTTGATACAAGCCTGGGGGAGGAACTCGTGCTGAAGTGTCGCGTTGAAGCTGGCTGATCTGAGACTCTTGTCAGGACAGAGGCCCTTTCGCGCGCCGCAGGGGTTGATGGTGCAGCAGCCGATGAAGCGATCTGGATCGTCAGCGCAGATGTAGAAGATTCCGCCATAGGGACAGGTTAGGCCCAGATCCTTGACTGGATTGTAGTCTGACATGACTCTGGTTTGAAGTTGGATGTGATGGAATCTGAACTTTGATCTTAACAGCAAATGGAAGAGAGTCTTGAGATGACTTAGGAACTAAAGAGGGCTTCCATGGTTTATAAACTGACTGTTTACAACTCCCAGGATGCCGTTTCGTCTGCTTCATTGTGCCGGGCTGACCGACACTTTTCTGCACCTAGATATGCAGGCTCGTCTACAGAGGATACGAATAAGACTGCAATTCTCAGAGTTGAGATCAACAGTTCCATCCTGTGGCGTTTTTGTTCTTTGTACATATAGGCGAGCTGCAGATCTAGTTGAGTTGATGATATCGATGAGAGATTCTAGGTTCTGTGAGTTAAGGAATATGAGAAGTGATAGAAACTCATTTACACCAATGAAGCGGTCAAGAAGGACCAGAAACTTGCCATGACAAAACATGGTGTGCTACGATATAGGAGTTACTTCATGCTGAGATACTGTCAAATGCGAAGAGGCTATGCTTGATATGAAGAGATTCAATATCGCTACGGTTTCGTAAATGGAGAAATACGAAGCATTTCCATTCCAAATGATCATGGAGACTACAAGGAGTTAGTGTTTGTGTCACGAATAGGATGATCCTTAGCAAACATATGCAGCCTCCCGTATACACCATGCCAAAGGCTATCTGAACATCTCGTTAGCTGAACTAACGATCGAACAAACAGCTTAGGCGATTTGACACTTATTGCAATCACACTTGTTGAGTTCAGCTTGATCGCCAACGAAGCATTTGCTTGTTCCCACTATCTACCAGAGTCAACGAAGACATAGGTCGAACATAGCAAATAGCGTGACGGATAACCACATTATGTCATTCAGAAGCGACTGGGTATAGACGTCCTATCCCCTTGACGATCCTACGGCGTCAGACAAACAACCACCCCAATTTTCCATCCTCTTAATTCTCTTATTAGATAGAGCGGCACCGGATGTTATCTGATTTCGTTATCGATTCTGATTCTTCATATGACACCTTAGGACCGTCAAGTGGTTGCTATCAAGCTTCAGCAACCGTATTTATCAGAGCCAGAGTAGATCATTCGTTGGATCATCGACATCTCTCATACTCGTTTGGTGCTGAATGTTGTCGGGGCCCTAATAGGGTAATCCACGAAAACCTCGTCTTTTTAAATCTACCCTGGATGCCACAAACCATGGAGCGTCATATTGGAACGCTATCAGGAACTGTCGTCGACTCTTTGTTAGAATGCCTACAGCAACTACAGCAATAAAAATAGCTAATCGAACGTTGAATGACATCCAATTTGTCTACAGCACACAACTGTAGTTCTTTGGTCTTTGGGCTTGTATATTGGAAGTTATATGCTTCCTCCAATCAAAGACTACTATCTGTATTACTTAACCATAAGTCTTTCAGAAATCTAGCTTCGCCTCCGAGCCGATAACGTCCAGGTCTTGTCTAACCTGATCTCTTGGTTCGGCCAACTCCAACGTTTAAACTTCTAGCGCTCCCGGAATCAGTCGCCGGCGCGTTTCAGCATACGAAGACAGCTTCAGACCTTCCCCCGCAGGAAGGCACCGATCCATCGCAAAGGATTTTTCGGTATCAGACCATTTTGCGACTCATGCAGCTAAAATTCCCTTCAGCTGTGTCTGCAGACGAGTCGTGAGGGTCAACGATATGCAGGTGCTTGTACCAGAACTGCCTAGTCTGTACTAACGAGCTGTTTCAACGCTTTGATACACTGACAGACACGACACGGCCAACGCCATCACAAAAAGCCGCAGCGATATCTGATACCGTCGGATTCGAACTGAATTTGTGCTGTGTCCGGGACCCTTTACGCATTCTGATAAAGTCTGTGCAGTGAGGGGATCAGAACCATGTGCATGAATAACAAGAAGCACAAACCACCAGGTCCGAGCAAGCCAATAATCGGGGGATGGGGCCCTATATTCGATTGGCGAATGCAACCAAGCACGCCTGGATACTGGGGTAGAGTATCCGAGGTGCCACTGCAGCTGCCAGATGACATTCATCAGTCGCGTGAGCAATAAAAAGTAAATTAATTCAAATCTTCAAGACCAGCATCCCTGGGTTCTACGTGCAGACGTCAAAGAACATTGGAGGGAAAAAAGCAAAAAACACAGCCTTGCACCGGAACAAGACCAAATTGCCGGGTTTAACGCTTGACGCTCTACAGGGATCAATCTTGGAAAGGACCAACAGGGCCAGTCATGACGGTGTGGTACTAATTTCATCGTATTCAACCCAATCTGTTCAACGGGCCGACGCGGTTCGGCGTATTATTTTTTGGTTGAACGGGATTGACAGCATTTGCATTTGTGAGGAATTTGGAATGACGATGAGAGAGAGAGATGGAGATGGGGATGATATACCTCGGTTCTCTTTGCATCGTCATTACCATGTTGAGATGATTGACGCAGGGATGCACCTTGGCCTGTCGATCATGTGGCTTGAACCTTTTGGCAGGAGGTCACGCAATCACTGTTATTCAAGTTTATCTTGAACGAAGGGGAATGCCAAAAATGGTAGTTCGATTTGATGATATATAATCATCGAGAGTTGGGCAGGTAAGACGATTAATGAGAGTGTCACTGGTTAATTTATTTTAATTGAACAGAATTAAAAACAAGGGTCTCTAATGCAACCTCAATGTTTCAGATGAATTGTCAATTGCAACTCCACCACACTCTTGCATGTGGTTCTGTCTCTCTCACTACTCTCGTTAGTGGCAGGGCGGCCTATCCTTGTCGATCCTGCTTGATTAACTTCTCCCAAAGTGTTTGCATCAATCTGCATAAAACCGGCCTCACCCTTCGTCGTCATCATTTCCCAAGACCACGTAACCTTTTAACGCCTCAAAGGAACAGAGTTTGAACGGGAGTATTTCCTGTAATCGGAGAAAAGAGCCAGAAGAGGAGGAGAACGAAAAAGACGTTGATTCTTGACTCAACTCAGAGTACAATGACAATGACATGGCATGACAACGAATGGGTCCGCGTTGTCGGATCGCAGATCGCTAGCTTGCTCTCTCTTCTCTTCTTCTTTGGGGGCTTCCTCTTTTGGGCGACCAGCCCGCAAACGGATCGAGGCCTCTTGTTAGCCACCGCAAGCTCTGGACCGATCCGCTGGTGGTCAGTTGTTAGCTTCGATAGTCTGTCTCTCAGTCAACAGGGTCCGAGAGGCAAAGACACAGAGCAGAGTCAGTCACTGAACAGAGAGTCTTATGATAAATGGATTTATCATCAATCAATGCACGTTGAACCCCTGCAAACTCAAACTCAATGCAAGTCTTCAGCTCGTTCGTAAAGGGGACAATAAAAACCAGAACAACCACAGCGACTTTTGGCGGCAAGCCTTCTGCAGTATTTTTTCCCACGGGGCAGGCATGGATGTCTTCCGGAAAAACATGTGCTATCTGCATTTCTGCAGCGCTAAAAGGGGACCCAGCCTAGGGGGGGAAATAAAAAACGACCCCTCACACCAGCGAATTTTGGTGTACTTGGGGTCGTTTAAATTTTCCCCCCGAGGGCCAGCATTGCAGAAGCCACTGGGTTTCTTTAGTGGCTTTTCGGCCAAGGATTTGCTCGAACCGACTTGGCCCGCCCCCGCAAGCTCACCTTAGTAGCCTGTGATTGATCCACTGAATTGCATGAGGTAGCGAGTCAGTCTTGGGTCGTTCTCTTCCACTGCGACCTGAGCTGGGCCTGCTACCGTGGTATTAAGCGATCGTGGGCTGCTCCTGCTCCGCGACTCGCGATTGAACGAGGGTCCTAGTCTATCCTGCCTGTCGTTGATTTACCTGGGCTACTCTTGCCTTTCTTGTTGTTCTAACTTCTCGTTGCGCTCGGGTCCCATTCTTTCCTTCTTTCCTTTCTTCTCTCGTCTTCCATCCAATCCAATCTGATAACTTACAACCTCCCACCAACACCTCACTCACCCGCTATGGTCTTCTAAGCTTTACACTGTTGCTCTCAACAATAACAACTCTTGGTTCTTTTCTCTCACTGAATGAGAGCACAAATACTCAAATTTTAATTATCCTTTTTTTCTCTTCTGGCGCGCTATAAACAAACATCAATCGGCAACCGTTATAATAACCCACTACGCTTGTGTCGCACAATCGCATTGCATTCCACCACTCCCGAGACATAAAGCAATAACCCGACTTGTCCATCCCCTTTTTGTGGAGGGGCATAATAATTAAGACAAGATGCCTACAATTAACGCTCTTCGGTCGTTCGAAGCTCCTCCAATGCCATCTCTACCCGATTTCGAGCGTCGTCGTTCCACAACATCGACACTCTCCAACAACAACAACTCCGATTCTGTCACCTCATCTCTGCGGGGTCTTCAAGCACCACCCAAAAGCAGCAGATCAAACCGCCCCAAGAGTGCTAAATTCTCATCCTACCGCCTGCGCAGCAATTCAGGCCTTTCACTTCACACCAATGAGGACATTCTGAGACAATATACCGACTACCACCCTGATGGCACACCGCGTGCCGGCATGTATAGTAACGGGCTGGGCCAGTGGTCGGGTGAGAGGTTGAGGAGCATTGACTCTGTTACATCGTCTAGAAGTCAAAGATCTAGTATCGCTTTCACTGAGTCAGATGGCTCCGGCGAGTTGCCTATTCCTGATCTTGTTGGGCGGGAGATGTTTGATATGGTCATGGCCGATCATGCTGCCAGTGGTCAATTATGGAGATTCGCCGCCAATCGAGGACTTGGTCAGAATGTTGATTACCTCATGAAGGTAAGATGAGCAGACGAGATATCACCTCTGAGATTCTAATCATGAGCAGATTCGCGACTATATCCAATCCCTGGAGCAGGTTGTCATTCAACTCTCGACAATATCAACTTCGTATACATCCATCACCGCAACTTCGCCAATCAATCTGCCTTCCCCTATGTCCAAGGCTCTCAACACGAACATCAAACATCTCACAACATCACTCATTCCCAGCCTGGAAAA